TATCAATTAACATAAAACTAACACATGCTTCAAGATTTTGACAACCTGTTTCTGTCATATCAACGGATTTGACAGCAGAGATTTCATACTTCCCAGTTATATAAGGGCCAAAAGACCTTAGAAATGATAGACCACTTAACTCTCATTTAAGATTTTTTGGGGGGTGGTTCTGGGGGCCAGTGGGTTGAAAGTGGGAAGTTGAATTTCGCATAAAAACTACCACTCCTAAATATAGTTCAGGTGTCTCATGGATGTTTTCTAGAATTTTCTGTTCGTGAGCGGTGGGAAATTTTCAAACTGACACCCTGTATAAAGAAAAGAGTACCACCAACACCATTTGTTCTCTCCTGGAGCCGGATTCTCGTCCCATGGAGTAGAGCTACCCGAAAGAACAAATTTTTCGTCTTTATCATTCTCTTTTACTTTTCGATTACGTCGACAAGGACAAAACATTCATTCGATCGGCGAGCTCTACTCCCTGAGACGGAGGATCTGGCCCCTGGCAGGATTTCATTTCGTTTCCTAAACCCTTCATCTCTACTCTTTATTGTTTTAGATGAAAATTAACTTAAAATAGGTGAAAACATATACAAAAACTAAACATGACTAGTTAGGTGACATATATAAAGATTAGCAGAAAACATCGACAAAAACAAGGTTGTGTATCACTAAACTTATCTGCTTTCGTTTTCGCATATTTTTCAGCAATAATTAAAGGTAGGTACATGTGGCCTATGAGTTTTATAAAAAATTATCCGGTGCAGAAAATAAAAGATCCTGTTGCGGTTTATCTACCATCCATTAGAGTGAATTAAATTGTACCTATTCTTTTCTGAGAGTAATCATTATATAGCTGATTTCATAGTACGTAGGTACAGCGGTATTGGTTATAAATGTCACTCCCCTCTACCTTTTTTATTTGAAATTTTAGAAAGAAGTGTCTCAAATAAAAGTTTTATGGTTGAAATTAAATTTTTCAAAAAACTCACTTTCACATTTACAGGGTGTTTCATAGAAGCTGGTCGTGGTCCAATTTTCTTATTTGGAATGGAATACTTACCCTGTATATTATTAAATATTCGGATTTTACGTAAAATTTTGAGCAGATTTCATGTGATATACCCTATACCTAAGTTCAACTGTTCTGGAAATATTGACAGTTGGAAATTGTCTTTTTTGCAACTTTGACAGGCTGTAAAACCTAAACGGTTAATTTTAGATTAAAACCGATCTCCCATTCTTATGACACCACCTTTGGATTTAACCGGAGATTAAATTTAATTGGAATTTTCCAACGAATTTTCAATCATTTGAGAAAAACCACCTATTTAAAATATTATTTCTTCAAATCTTAACTTTTTAAAAAAACTTTTATTGAATAAAAGTAAATGTTGCAACCATGTAATGTGCCGTGAAGTTTAGGTTTAGGGGAGAACGAGGACACCGGCCGCGCCGCCACGAAAAGTACCGAAACCGAAGAGGAGACAAGGGAATAAGCGACTAGACTAGAAAGAAGAAGGTGGGCTGGTCCCTTAAGGCGCTTGTCTGCTATTGTTCATTATTCAGTTTTTATTTTTATTTTGTATTAAACTAATTGTTCAATCCAATTTGTGATTAGTTTGTGTGTCATAAAGGATCATTCACAGGTCAGTTGATTAAATGTTATTTTCTTTTTGAGAGTTCAATTTATACAAGTATTATTTTTTCATTTTTTTGTTTTTTTTGTTTGTTTATAATATTTTTCATAACATGTGCATTGTTCCTGTATTTAACAAAAATCGTTTCATGCTGTAAACCACACAGATAAAAAGTAAATTAAAACCTAGAAAAATTATGTGCTGTCTTTTGTGCTGGGAATTTGATTTTTGGATTCAGAGCGTACATTAAGGCCTTGTTGAATTTACTAACATTTTCCTACCCTGACGAGCGAATATCCTAGCAAACAAATTCAAATAATCAAACGAGAGATATTGGCTTAAAAACGACTATAGCTGAGTAGCTTCCCGTATGGGACCTCAGTGCCTGCTGGTGAGACTGGCTAACTAACAAAAACTCTTCAGTATTGAAAATAGGTAGTGTTGATTGAATGTAGTATGTGGAATTAAAATTTTAGCACAAGAACAGGGACGGTATACGAAATTTAAACTTATATTGACTTAAATTATTTAATAAATGACTCACAATTGTCATAAAAATTACACAGTATGTTTTGATTTTTGAGGAATGTTCGGTTGAGGGTTTCTCTGCCGTTCTCTTTCCCCTCGAGAATTCCAGGTCGAGAACGGTACGATTTACTTTAATAATAAAGTAGACGTTTCACAAATTTTTTGTTTCTTTCACATAACAGCTTCCCTTAAATTTCCGTGATTTTGCTATGTCGGGCTGGACATGCAGTAAGTGAAATTGAGCGAGTTTCCACAACGTAGATCCTATTTGTTTTACATTTCGTTTTTCAGAAGATTTGTTGTTTAAAAGGTAATAAAAATTCACACCGTACAATCTAACAGAACGAACCCGGGGTTGTTATACTACACATTATGGATTAAATTTAAAGTTGGTGTCAAATGATAGTTTATGAAAAGCTGAGATGAGAATGTGAAATCGGTTTTGATGTAAACTTAACCGTTTAGGTTTTACAGCTTGTCAAATATGCAAAAAAGTCAACGTTCAATTGTTAATATTTCCAAAACAGTCGAACTTGTCTTAAGTATAGGGTATATCACATTAAATCTGCTCAAAATATGACGTAGAAGACGAATATTCAATAATATACAGGATATTCCATTTAAAGAAAGAAAGTTGGATTACGACCAGCTTTTCTGAAATACCCTGTATATGTGAAAGTGAATTTTTGAAAAACATTAATTTTAACCATATAATTTTTATTTGGGACACTTCTTTCTAAAATGTCAAATAAAAAAGGTAGAGGGGGGTGATATTAATAACCAGTCACCCTGTGGATAGAAATAAAACATTTCTTTGTTATAAAATTTGTTTATCCGGAAAGTATTTTGAAATGCCGTCAGTTTAATTCAATATATTGATTTTACATAGACAAGCATAAAAGAACTTTTCTGTTTGTTTTTTTTTTTCAAAAAAAAGTATAGTATCAAAAATAAAATTAGGATACAGACTCAAAACGTGAAAAGAAAGGAGATTTTCCCATAACTTTTTTTATTTATCTTCTAAAATAATGTCACTTTTGCAGGTTTGAAATTTTCAAATGACATTTGACAGGTGAGACACGCATAATAAGCACTCTTCTTGCCCTAGATCATGCATAACCCAATGCAAACAAATTTTCAAAAAACTTGCTACATGGTGCAGTCTTTTGCGGAAACTGTTTATAGATAACTACCTACTTACAATAATAATTTAAGTTTCATATAGCTTTTATGTATGAAACATAACATAATCGCGTTTAAGAAACTCTCAGAAATTCTGCTGATGACCTACAGTATACGTCCGTACCTTCAAGATAGTGTCAAAATCCTCTGTTTAACAGTTGACGGGTTTTTATAATAGTAACAGTTAGATTTCAGCCATTTCATGAAATTCTGGTTTTATTATTTACTAACGGAGCCTGTCCTCAAATATTCATACATTTGAACATGTAACTTGAGAGGATACTCAGATCAGTGTAGTAAGCCTAGTAATTCTGTATTATTAGATATTCAGGCCCAGAAGTGCAAGACAAAATTTTATAGGAACAGGAAAGCAATTCTGGCCTTATTTCCTATCTTAGTCTTGTATTTCAGGTCTCTGAAGGTCTGGAAGTTTATGTACGAGGGATAAGTCTCTACTGGTCCGATATATTCTTATTCTTTACCCTTCTGAGCATTGTCTCTAGCGACTATAAAATGTTTTTGATGGATCGATTTAAGACTGTCCAACAGTTCGACTGGTTGTCACAAAATATCGCAAAATATAATTATAAATTCAATTTGACATCAGTTTCAATGTAGAAACGTTAATATTATTGTTTTAGTAGTTATTCTAGAGTAAAAAAGTCGTTCATTATTAGGGATGCATAAATATTTAAACCTTAGAGCCCCCCTTATCAGCTAGCCGGACAATGCCGACAAATGCCAGGCTAAAAATATCGATAACTGGATACATTTCTGTGGTTTACTTTAACAAAATAAAATTTCGATTTGATGGAATTAGTTCTACGCGATGGAAGTTTTGGTGGCCACATGTAGGTTTTCAAAGGAACAAGGTAGTAAAATGCAAATAATAATTACGGGTCGTACACAGAGTCGTCTGGAGTTTCCTGAATGCTGACCAAATGACCATCCATTGGATCCCTTCTCACTCATATACATACGACAAGCCGTTTATATTTGTCATATAGAAAGTCCTACGATTAGTACGACGGACGACGGCAACGTTCTGTAGGAGAAAACAGTTTCAATGGACGATCAGGCTAAGCCTCGTACGCTCAGACTCAGGCAGTTCCAATGACAACTATTAAATACCTACGACCCTGTTGATAACAATTGAAATTATAAAATGCTCATTGAAAATTAGATGAGTTTATATAGGCGAAATGTCAAAAATCCTTCGAGCTATTTTTTAATAACCATTTTGGAACATATATTTAATTATATTACGCGTTTAAAATTTGAGATTTATCCAAAAAATTATTAAAACTTTGGAATAAAATTATACCCGCCAACACAAAAATGTTCGTTTGTGTTTTAAATAGTGAAAATGTTGAATAACAAAGATCAACATCCTTTTTTTTCTGATAAAACTTTAATGATCAAAGTACTAATTTCTACACATGTAAGGACCTTGTGTTACGATTGATTCTTTTTTTGACCTATTAAAGCTATTGGAAATAAATGCTGGCTTCCGATAAAATGAAACTAAAAAGAATCGATTGATTATTTTCCCCCTTTCAATAAATATACGTACAGCTAAAAGCCATCAATTTGAATTTGGACTAATATTTTACTATAATAGCACCAGCACATAAAATGGAAATTAGTACATACCTTTATTACTTACCGTTTAGTATAATGCAACGCTTAAATATTTGTTGAATCAATTAATTTCTAACACTAATAAATAAAATTTTTACACATTTAACACATTTCATCCACGATCAAGTCAGTTATTCTTGATGGATTTATTCCGGAACCAACTGAAACATTTCCGCTATATATTTTTTATGGCATTACAAGCGTCACAGTAGTTTTTTTGGCGTTTCATATGTTATTAGATGCTGTTTTGGGTCACATGACGTGGCCACTGTCCCGGAGTTCCCGAGTTGACTGAAGGGACGTAATGGAATCGGGAATTTTCTGAACCCACATCTAACGACGCCGACGCCATGCAGCAATGGAACGTCTGTTTTTATATACGGGATTTCCAGCGTCTAAATGATAATCCGGAACTTTTAGTCCGGATGAAAAAGAAAATAGGTTACCTACCTATTAAAAACAAAAAAGTAGAGAGATTTCTTGCTATCGCTTAATTTGAGCCTATGATAAAATCTCTTATAGATAGATATAGGGGTGTTTTACTTACTGCGTTATTTATATTTCCGCTTGAATAAGTGGAGTTACTCCCCTTTCGAAAATATTGTACATTATTTCGCAAGTGTTACAATTTTGCGACTGCAAAATAGTAAATGATTTCCGAGAAATGGAGCAATATAGATAATTAGCTCCAAAACCGACGCCACTGTACACAACCGGGGAATATTCAGGAATTCGTTACCATTGTGCGCTTCGGAAAGCATTTACGAGAACTCTATACCATTTCCAGGATTATTTCACACTTGTGAAATTTGATTTCAAATTAATGAAAACTAAATTCACATTAGTGAAATCTAATTTCGCTCAAATGAAAATTGATTTCAAAGTAACGAAAACTAATTTCTCACAAACGAAATTTGTTTTCACGTTTTTGAAAATGAATTTCAAACTGACCCTAATTAATACTCATTTCTCAAACATTTATTAGTTTAATTTGAAGAAACATCAACAAATGTTATTTATTTCACCCTAATGAAATAAACCCAATGAGTTCACACAACATAAAATACAAACATAAAACAACTATAATAATTATAAATTATTTAAATAAATTGAACTTCAGTTAAGTCCTCTCACTCTCGAGATAGCTGCATACCTTTCCAGGTGATTTTCCAAGCTGAAGTTTAATTTATTTAAATAATTCATAATTATTATTGTTGTTTCATGATTGTATTTTATGTTATCTAAACTTAGTGGGTTTATTTCATTAGGTTGAAATAAATAACGTTGTTGAGTTGATGTTTTATCAAATTGAAATAATAAATGTTTGAAAACTGAGTATTAATTAGGGTCAGTTTGAAATTCGTTTTCAAAAATGTGAAATCAAATTTCGTTTGTGAGAAATTAGTTTTCGTTACTTTGAAATCAATTTTCATTGGAGCGAAATTAGATTTCACTGATGTGAATTTAGTTTTCATTAATTTGAAATCAAATTTCACTAGTGTGAAATAATGCTGGAAATGGTATAGAGATTTGTGGGTCAAGTGATTTCCTATATAAATGTGCGTAGTTTAAAAGTTAGGTAAAACCAATTTAGTGAATATTGTAAAATCAGTTAGTTCAATGTTCAATAAAAGTTGTTGTTGTTAATAAAGAGTAAAGAGGTGTTTTAGTATATCTAGTGACAATTTTGTATTTGGAGTGAACCAATTTGCGAGAAAATTGGTGTATTGAATTGAGCTACATAGTAAAATAATTGGCAAGATAACTAGTTGATTATTCCGGGCAAATGAAGGAATAATTAGCAATTAGCGAGACAATTAGTAGACTGATTTGAGCGTATCAGTGGAAACAATTATGTTGAACAGAAACTTAACTGACTTAATTACAGGATCTGACATTAAAAAAACAAGCTCACAGACGGGTTTTCTGCAGAGTTCTAAAAAATCCTATGGTGTTCGATTTGGCAGCCACAAGTGATAGAAAAATAGTGACTTCATTACATAGAAAATACAAGCCGTCGCAGTGACATTCCGAAGTATTTTATTAGCCCATACAGATGCTTTATGCATCTAGGGATATATTATTGTTAACATAATTAGTGAATTTATATTGTATATTATATGTAACTGTTCATGAGTTATTGAAATAAATACAAATTATATGTGTTATGTTAAAAATCTGACTTCGCCACATGAATTTATATTGAAAATCAAGTTTCAAGAAAGATACTGATGGTGAACACGCGATAAAAAATAGCCAAAATAAAGCACGTAAATCAAATGTTGCGAGACCTTATGAAAAATATCGAAGACCAGAAACCAAAAAAGGAATCCCGGAGACAAAAAGAAAAACAGGAAAAACAGGACCGGCAAGCAGCATGTTTACAACAACCAGTAGATCGGTAATCAAAGGAAAGAAGAGAAAAGGAAACCATGAAATCATGCCTAGAGGAAAATTGAGAAAATGGAATGTGACTTAAGATAAGAAAGCATTAAAGTTAGACCACCATCATACGACGGACAGACTAGGCCATGTACCGGCATCATTTTGAGACTGTTGCAGTTGCTAATGGTTGGAGCTCTGATGACATGGCTACAGGTGGCTACAGGTTTGATTGTAGCGTTGCGCGACCCTGAGTTAGAAGAGACTGTTCCGCCAGCTTCCCAACAAAACTTTAGTGGGCTTGTTGATGCGTTAGAGCGTCGTACAACTTTGGTCGTACCTACAGCTGAGAACAAGACAAAAGAAAGCTGTGGAAAGTTCAAAAGGATTTGAAACCGATATCCGCCATCTCGTTAATTTGGCCTACCCTACCCGTAACAGTAGAAATGCGAGAACAGCTAGCGGCCGAAAATGTCATTAATGGAATCAGAAATATGGATGTACAGAGGATGCTGCTCACAACCAAACTATATAGACTGTGAGATAGGGGCTGTTTAGTGGAGTCATTTTTTTTTGTCTGGCATTTTGAGGGCTGAATGTGGCTACTAAGCTGATGAGAATATGGGTGATTTTAATGCCGACCTGCCGTTCGAAAATTTGCAGAAGAAAAAAATTGATTTACATGAAGAATTTTTTTTTAATGATTTCAAATTTTCTAGCTTTTAAATAAAAGATTGACATTGATAAATAATTCACCCATGAAAAATATCAGATGCCTTTCAATGGCTGAAAAAATGGGTATGGGTGTCAACTTCCAAGAGAAAAAAAAAAGAACCTTCCGCGTTCACTTTTTGTCTGGCAATCGAGAGAATGGAAGATTTTGTTGTGAAAATAGCATTAAAACCACTTATATTCTCATCAGCCAACTAGTCACATTCATCCCTCAAAATGCCAGACAAAAAAAAATGACTCCACTAAACAGGCCCTATCTCAGGGTCTAATACCTTCTGGAACAAGCATTGATTGCCAAGATATAGGTTTATAATAACAATCGACAAGATTTTTCCGATTTAAACCTTTCAAAATATTTATTTTTGTAAGTACTTGGAGTAGGTAACTATAATCTATTTGGAAATGCGAAACCATCGCAAATCAATGTCATAATCGCCTCGCCATAGGCGTCCTATATATTTTTCGAATAAGTTAATATTAAAGTTTAAAATGTATAGGGACAATCGTATATGCATAAAAAATGCGTCTATAACTAGAATGAGAGGTAGGTATGTTCTGCCATGTGTCTCGACTCAAACATGACAATAATATCTCTCACTCTCTCTTAACGCTTATATTATGCATATCGCCGTACATCTATTATTGTGATTAGTCAAGTATTGACTGGGGTATAAATATTCTATTAGAGCTAGGTGGGAGGTATATGGGTTAATTAATTATAGGTAGGTGTAGGTACCTACCTATAAAAAAATCTAAACTACAGGTAGGCACTAAATAGATTTTTCCATTTTGAGTACCTGCAAATCATTTAAAAAGTGGAAAAATAAATAAAATTATCCAGTATATGTGTAAAAGTTAAAGAAAGTGTGTGATCGTGAATTTGAGAATTTACTGAAAAATGGCTGGTGCAAGTTCTTCCGAATTTTCGGCGGTTAGAAGAATACTAATCAGTAATTGTCCTTTTACTTTTACAGAAAAGGGAATTATTTTGAATGTGTACAACACTCTTGACCACCAACATCCTCAAGCCACCGTTGTTAGAATTACTGAAATGTGTTCAAATATGACGGGAGTTAGTCTGAAGAGTGTATATAGAATTGTCCGCGTGAATCAAAAAATGGAAATTTCACTTCTCCAAAAACATCAACGGAAAGAAGCAAAATTGTAATTGAAGAACAGGATATGAAAAAAAGAAATATCTATTATTTAGATGAAACCTGGATAAACGCTGGACATACAGTAAAAAAAATGTGGCAGGATAAAAACATCACAAGTTCTCGGCAAGCTTTTTTAGAAGGTTTATCTACAGGAATAAAACCTCCATCTGGAAAAGGAAGTAGATTAATGATCACCCATATTGGCAATGAACAAGGATTTGTCAATGGCGGCCTGTTGATGTTTTAATCTAAGCACACTGGAGACTACGACGAAGAAATGAACGTCGATGTGTTTGAGGAATATTTCGAGCAGATGTTAGATTTGATTCCGTCAGGATCCGTTATAGTGCTTGATAATGCTCCTTATCATTCACGAAAAGCTGTTCAAGTACCAATGACTGCATGGCGAAAAAAAGACAATAAAAAGTGGCTTTCTGAAAGAGGAATATCACTTCTAAATGATATGGTAAAAAAAAGAACTCTTGGCCCTAGTGAACACAAAAAACAAGAATATAGTAAATGTAAGATTGATGATATGGCGGAAAAGCGACAAATTATTGTACTTCGGACTCCTCCATATCACTGCGAATTGAATCCGATTAAGTTAGTGTTGGTTTTGTTTATTAATATCTCGATCAATCTATTAAAATTAATGTTTGGAAAGTCTGTACAACATCTTTTTTTTTTAAATAAAACACCCTCTAGTGGCTCTAGTTCTCTGCTATACGACACCAATGGTGGTATCTAGTACCTATCTTATATACCGAGATCCATTCATCTTGAATAGAATCACAAATATGCAAATGAGCTTTAGACCCTTTTTGTACCCTAACATGGGTGGGTCAAGTTTAATCTTAGTGATTTGCTACAACCTTAATATATTCTTATGACAAGTGAGAAATTTAGCTTATCCCCAGGTAAACACTTGGTCCCAGTTTTGCCTAAATTCACATATACTTAATGGTCTCGGTCAAACAAATAGACTATAATAATTTTTGGGAACATTAAGGAGGAA